GATACAAATTGGGAAGGAAGAGGTCAAACTTTCACTGTTTGCAGACGATATGATAGTTTACATCAATGACCCAAAGAACTCTACCAGGGAACTCTTACAGTTGATTAACACCTTCAGCAAAGTGGCAGGCTACAAGATCAACTCAAGAAAATCAGTAGCCCTACTATATACAGATGATAAAAGGGCTGAAAGAGAAATCAGAGAAACATCACCCTTTACAATTGCCACAAACAACATAAAATACCTTGGGGTAACGCTAACCAAACAAGTGAAAGACCTGTATCGTAAGAACTTTGAATCTTTAAAGAAAGAAATTAAAGAAGCCCTCAGAAAATGGAAAGATCTCCCATGCTCTTGGATAGGTAGGATCAATGTAGTAAAAATGGCAATCCTGCCAAAAGCAATCTACAGATTCAATGCAATCCCCATTAAAATCCCAGCACAGTTCTTCACAGACCTTGAAAGAACAATAATCAATTTTGTATGGAAAAACAAAAGACCCAGGATAGCCAAAACAACCCTGTTCAACAAGGCAACGTCCAGAGGCATCACCATCCCTGACCTCAAGCTCTATTATAGAGCTATAGTCCTGAAAACAGCTTGGTATTGGCACAAAAATAGACAGGTAGACCAATGGAATCGAATTGAAAACCCGGGTATTAACCCACACACGTACGAACATCTGATCTTTGACAAAGAAGCTAAAAATATACAATGGAATAAAGAAAGCATCTTCAACAAATGGTGCTGGCATAATTGGAGACTGGCATGTAGAAGAATGCAGATCGATCCATGTCTATCGCCATGCACAAAACTTAAGTCCAAATGGATCAAAGACCTCAACATAAATCCAGCCACACTGAACCTCTTAGAAGAGAAAGTGGGTGGTACCCTTGAACGAATTGGTACAGGAGACAGCTTCCTGAACATAACACCAGTAGCACAGGCAGTAAGATCAACAATTAATAAATGGGACCTACTGAAACTGAGAAGCTTCTGTAAGGCAAAGGACACAGTCAGCAAGACAAAAAGGCAGCCCACAGAATGGGAAAAATATTCACTAATCCCACATCTGACAGAGGGTTGATCTCCAAAATTTACAAAGAACTCAAGAAGCAAGTCTCCAAAACACCAAAGGACCCTATTAAAAAGTGGGCTGCAGAACTAAATAGAGAGTTTTCAATAGAGGAGTCTAAAATGGCTGAGAGGCACTTGAGAAAGTGCTCAACATCCTTAGCCATCCGGGAAATGCAAATCAAAACAACTCTCAGATACCATCTCACCCCTGTCAGAATGGCTAAAATCAAAAACACTAATGACAATTTATGCTGGAGAGGATGTGGTGAAAGGGGGACACTCCTCCATTGCTGGTGGGAGTGCCAACTGGTTCAGCCACTTTGGAAATCAGTGTGGAGATTCCTCAGAAAAATGGGAATAAACCTACCACAAGACCCAGCAACTCCACTCTTAGGCATATATCCAAAAGATGCCCATTCATACAACAAAGAGGTCTGTTCCACTATGTTCATAGCAGCTTTATTTGTAATTGCCAGAACGTGGAAGCAACCTAGATGTCCCTCACCTGAAGAGTGGATAGAGAAAATGTGGTACATCTACACAATGGAGTACTATTCAGCAGAAAAAAATAATGGAATCATGAGATTCGCAGGCAAATGGATGACACTAGAAGAAACCATCCTGAGTGAGGTAACCCAGTCACAAAAAGAGAAACATGGCATGTACTCTCTCATATATGGATTTTAGACATAGATCTGGGGAGTGCCAGCCTACAATCCTATGGCCAGAGAGTCTGGGAAACAGAAACTTTATTTAGTGGCTGATCGAAGAAGTGGCAGACTCCCTTGGTTAAGTACTGAGCTGAACTCAAGAAAGCCAGTAACAGAGAGGGAGGACTGATGATCAAAGGGTTTAAGACTGGGCTGGTTTAACCCCCAGAAACAGCTGACCAGACAAAGGTTAACTCTTGAATCCCAGGCATTAGCCTGGGAAGCCAGCATGGGACTGATCAAGACCCCCTGAATCTGGGTGTCAGTGAAGAGGCCTAGGGAATCTATTGAGCCTTGGGCAGCAGATCAGTACCCATCCCAAGTATACACACGGACTTTGGACTCCAATAGAACAATGTGAGGTGCACTCTCACCCAGAACTCTTGGGAAAGGGTCTAGGCCCTGCCCTATATGAAATGACACACTATGGACACCCCCATGGAGGGCCTCACCCTCCCTGGAGAAATGAGAGGATAACGGGGGGGGGGGGAGGGGAGGGCACGGGAGGAAGGGAGGGAAAGGGAGAGGGACCTGGAACTGACTTGTGAAGCAACCTTGATTCTTATCTAAATTTAAACTGGAAAATAAAATTAAAAAATAAAAAATAAAAAAATAAAAACACACAAAAAAAAAATTTTTCTTCCTCTCCTCTCAGGATCGTCATTCTAATTTCATGACCTACAAACACACACACACACACACACACACATACATATATATATATATATATATATATATATATATATATATACAAAAATACATGTTATTTTAAACATAGGCTTTGCATATGAGAAAATACATGATATTTGTCTTTCTAAATCTGGCTTATTTCATTTAATAGAATGATTTCCATGTGGTGACATTTTGTTTGTGAGCTAACAAATAAAGCTTGCCTGAAGATCAGAGTGTGGAGCTAAGCCACTAGTTAGCCACAGAGGACAGGCAGCAGTGGCACATACCTTTAATCCCAACACCGGGGAGGCAGAGGCAGACAGATCGCTGTGAGTTCAAGGCTACCCTGGGCTACAACAGAGCTCACTCCTTTGATCCCAGCTCTTGGGATCATAGGCCTTTAATCCCAGCACTAGAGAGGTGGAGACAGGAGTGATTTGGCTGGGCAGAGAAAGGAATGTAAAGTGGGAGGAGACAGGAGTTCATTGCATTCAGTCTCAGGATTTGTAGGGACAAGATCGCCCATTCCATTTGAGGATTTCTAGAGACAGTATCAGGCATTCAGTCTGAGGTTTTGTAGAGACAGGGTTGTCCCTTTGGTCTAAGAATTCAGTAGTGGCTAGCTGCTCTACTTCTCTGATCTTCCAGCATTACCATCTATTACTGACTCTGGGTTTTTATTATTAAAACCAATTAGAACTCATGCTACATTTCTAGTTACACACATTTTCTTGAAAATGTCATGATTTCATTTTTCTTTACAGCTGGATAAAATTTCACTGTGTAGATGGACCACAATTCTTCCATCCATTCTTCTCCTTATTGTTGTCTAGGCTCATTCAATTTCCTTGCTATTATAAATAATTCAGCAATAAACATGTCTGTGTAAATGGAGAGGGACCTGGAATTGTCATGTGAAGCAACCTTGTTTCTAATTTAAATTTAATTTTAAAAATAAAAAATAGTAAAAACATGTCTTATAAACATCTCTGTGATAAATTGACAAAATATGTGGGTATTGACCACAAGAATAGTAAAATGTAACCATGTTATTACATGGTTATCACTCTATTTTCAGTTTTTTTAGGAACTTTCACACTATATTCCATAGAGGCTGTCATAGTTTACACCCCCATCATCAGTGAATATGTTTTCTTCTTTTCCCACATACTTAGCAGTATTGTGGTCTTTTGATTTCTTGGTCATTTTGACCTGGGTGTAATGGTGACTTTGAGAAGTTTATTCAATAGTCCAGCTATAGTGACTGAATAACCTGAGTGTTGGGAAGTTAATTTTTACAGGGTTTTATATATCCTAGATATTAGTCCCCTGTCTGATATGTAATATGTAATAGTTGTTTTCTCCTATTCCCCACTTTGGTGACTGCTTCATTTGCTGTGCTGAAACTTCTTAAGGTCATTAAGTCCCCTTTGTCAATACATGAGATCATGACCTGTATTGCATGTTCATGGGTGTCCCTCTATCTTGAAGTATGTTCTCTATTCCCACAGTTTTGAAATCTCAGGTTGCATATTGTTTTTTGATCCATTTTGAATTGATTTTTGTACAGGTTGAGAGATACAAATGTAGGCTGGTTGTTCTGTGTATGGATATCCAGTTTCCCCAGCACTGTTTTTTAAATAAGCTGTCTTTTTCCAATGTATGATTTTGACAGCTTTGTCAAAAGTTTGGTGCCTGTACTTGAATGGGCTGTTTCTGGATCCTCTATTCTATTCCACTGAACTGCATGTCTGAGTTTGTCCCCAGTAAGGTGTGCTTCTTACAAACAATAGAAAGGTGGGTCTAGTTTCTTGTTTTTAATCAATCAGCCAATCTGCATTTCATTAGTGAACTGAGACCTTTACATGTTAGATTACTATTCAAATATTCAGAGTAATTCCTACAGTGTAGTGTTTTTTTCTGGTTGATTAGATTGATGATTTTTCCTTACTTTCTCTTTATTAGTTTCAGACGTTTGTTGGTTTACTGTGTTGAACATGATGGATTCCTTTATAGCTCTCCTTTGTTCAACCATTCCCATCAGGAAATCTATTCTTTCCTAAGCTGTTATGACTGAGAGCTATCTTTCGTCTTCAGCTGTGTATAGTATTGCTAGATATCTTAATGATTATGAACTGTCTTAGTTTTGCCTCCCTTGAAATGCCCTATCTTTGCCAATTTTAAAAGTTACCATTGTGGAATATAGCAATCTTGGTTGATATTTATTTACTTTTAGGCTTTAAAACATCTCATACTTTCTTGACTTTGACTGTTGTTTATGAAAGTGGTGATATAATTCTGATACATTTGCCTTTGTAGGTGATTTTGTTTTTCCCATTTGAATATTTTAACTTGTTTATAAATTGTTTTGGTTTTTAACTCTGTGCTTTTGACATATTGATAATGATTCATTAAGGAGAATTCCATCTCTTGTAGTGTCTTTATGAAGTGCTAAATACCCCTCATGTTTTTATGTCAGTATTTTCCACTTTAATGTCATAGAAAACTCTTAAGTGTTTATCTGAGTACCTTGTAGTACCCTGTGGATTCTTGGGTTAGGTCTTTGGAACACATCTCAGAGGTCTTATACATTGTAGTCAGGAGACATAGATGAGGCTTCCAGGCAGAGAGGAACTCTGGAAAGAAGAAAGATGGAGCCTCCCATCAGACACAGAGGACGCAGGGTTTGCAGGAGGAGAGGTAACAGCCACAAGTCACATGGCAGGATGTAGGTGAATAGAAATGGGTTAACTTAAGTTATAAGAACTAGTCAGTAACAAGCCCAAGTTATTGGTCAAGCTTTCATAATTAATAAGAAGTCTCTTGTGTCATTATTTGGAAGCTGGCTGGTGGAAGGGAAAAAGACTCATTACAGGTGACAAAGGACATTCAATTTGGATTTTCCAGCAAAGATTTCAACAGTTCCAGTCAGGCATTTCCAGGAAATTATTACAATAAAGATATTTTAATGGTTTTTCTGAAGATTTCCTTTTTTTTTAAAGAACAATGCTGAGGGGATTACCATTCTAGATCTCAAGATATATTACAAAGCCAAAGTAACAAAAACAATATGGTACTAGAACAAAACAGATGTGTAGATCAATGGAACAAAATCAAAGACACAACATATAACAACAGCCATTTAATATTCAACAAAGATGCTAAAAAACATATGTTAGAGAAAAACCATCTTCAACAAATGGTGCTGAGAAAACTGAATGTCCACATTCAGAAGAATGAAATTAGATCTGTGTCTATCACATTTCATAAAAACTAACTCCAATAGATCAAATACCTAAACACCAAACTAAAACACTGAATCTTCTAGAAAAAAAATGTTAGCCATACCTATGGGGTATAGATGTAAAAAATGGTTTCTGAATAGGACTCCATGTACCCAACAATTGACAAGTGGGACCTCAAAAAACTAAACTTCTGCACGGCTAAAGAAACAATCAAGTGAAGAGAAACCCCATAAAATGAGAGAAAATTTATGCTAGTTAAGCATCTGACAGAGAATTGTTATTCAGAATATATAAAGAATTCAAATAAAAAAGATTTTTAAATGACTCGTACAAAAAAAATGGGCCTGGAATCTGAACAAAGTTCTCAAAGGAAGAAATAAAAATGGCTAAGAAACATCTCAAAAACTATTCATCGTCCCTATCAATTAATGCAAATCAAGACAACTTAGAGATTTCATCTTACCACAGGAAGAATGGCAAGAGAAAACAACCAACAACAAATGTTGGAGAGGATGCAGGGAAATGGACCCCTCAATTTCTGTTAGTGGGACTGAAAGCTGACTGTGGGGCTCAGTGTGGAAAACCCTCAGAAAGGTAATCAATAACAATTAATAATAATAATAAACCTATCTTTTGGCCCAGTTATACCACTTTGGGCATATGAAGGCCTCAGCATCCTGCTCCCCTAATAAATGCTCAGTCAAATTCGTTGTTGCACAATTCACAATGGCTAGGAAGTGTCCCTCAGCTGATGAGTAAGTTATGAAAATGTGGTACACATACACTATGGAATACTATTCAGCTGTAAAGAAAAAACAAAATCATGAACTTGCAAGTAAATGGATAGAAGAGAAGATGACACTGACTGGGGTGACTCAGGCCCAGAAAAGCAAATGTTGCATGTTCTTTCTTATCGAGGTTTCTACCCCCAAATCTTCTTGTGTGAATACATAACCTGGAATAATTGCAGACATCAGGAAAGAAAATAGGAACTGTGGCTGGGGTGAGAGTTTGGGGTAGCAGAGAAGGGTATAGCGGGGTACAAGTGATTTGAAAGGGGATATGGGGGAAACAGGGGAGAGGGCTTTAATTATGGAGGAGGAGGAAAATAAACACAGAAGAAGAAAGAGGATAAAACTCCACAGACGTCTGAAAAAGTCAAGGATTCATACGCTTAATTATCTACCTAAAAATACCTATATAATACTTGTACCTCTGTGTATACACGCACATATAATTTAAATGAAATGTCCCCATCTGGGTTAGCAATGCTCCCTGCAAGAGCCATAGACGATCTAATATAAACCCTAGTACCATGCATGAGAAGCTCTCTTTGGAATTGTTGGTCCAAGAGACTCCCAAAACTTTATAGGCAATCACTACAGCCCTTGGTTGCCCCCTGGAGGAAGAAGGCACGTATTGATGAAGACATCATGCATTTCAGATAAAGAGCCCAGAGAACCCAATCTGGATCTTACCTGAAAGCTTCCTCCCTGAGGACTAGCTTTCTTGTTACCAGTGGGTACATTTCAAGCTTTGAAGGGAGGTAATCAAGCAATAGTTCTACCCAGATATGAAACCTACGAACCACAACAATGACTAGGATGGCACAATAACACAAAGGGTACACATACCTCGGCAGTAACTATCGGTTCCCTAATTTGACTTAAGGCCCACTCAACAAAAGAGAAACTATGTCTGGCACTGGAAACTGAGCCAGTTACCCAGGACTAGTGAAGTCATGGATCTTAACAGAGAACCTACGACTTCCACTTTACTAAACCAGCATAATTTCTAGCTACAGTCTAAATATTTATCCTTACACCTGCACATAAGTGTAGCTCTTGCTCTTCATCAAGGAAACTTCTCTTTGCAACAAAGACCATTACATAATTCCATCCTCAATCAAAATGCAGAATCGTGGTGCCCAGTTCCTACTGTTACATCTACAACACATCTTCTGTACCAAAGATCAGAGATCATTGCAGAAGAGAGGACAGAAAGATTGTTAGAGTCAGAGCAACAGGGAATTTGCTATGAGATTGTGGTCCCTAAAAATGTCAGAGAAGCTACATCCATGAAGTCTCACCAAAATGGCTGCTTAAACAAGGGCAATACCCAACAGACATGCTAATGTGGACGAGGGAAGGACCAAAAGACCTCAACCCTACACAGAGAACCACAGTCAACTAAGGAGTGCTGAGAGAGTCCTCTCCATGGAAGAGCAAAAAAATTGGTTATCCAATATCAAATGATCACACTGAAACGTGTGTGAGCAAGTTATATTTATAAATTTAGGAATAATAGTATATGTATAACTCTGATGTAATTATAACATAATCTCAAAACAAGTTTTTAATGTTTTTTAATTTCCTTATTTTTATTTTATATGTACATGTATTCACCTGCTTTTCTACACTACACATGTTCCTGTTGCCCTAAAAGGTCAAATATTGGATCCTCTAGATCTGGAGCCACAGATAGCCACCATGTGGGTTCTGGGAATTGAATCAAGGTCTACAAGAATAGCAAATGCTCTTAACCTCTGAGCCATCTCTCCAGCCACCTGATGTCTTTTCTGCATAGACAATGGTCCATATTTATTAAAGAGTACACATAAAAATAATTTTTAGATATCACAAAGCACTTTCAGATACCAACCACTCCTAACAAATAAGTCTTTTCAAAGGACAAGAATGTTCTTCTATTATACTCTACAAACTGCAATTGTCACTGACAAACATGTATACCTTTAGAATAAAGATCTGTCTGTGTCCTGACTCATTTTCTGTAACAAAAAAATCCATTGTTAGGGTTGCCAGTTATGATAAAGACATCCAATTTCTAAAAAAAAAAAATCAGGCAATACACTTGGAAAAGTGGCTCATGGGCCCTATGGAAGAATCTATTGCCATTACTTTGCTAAACGAGCACAATATTAAACTGATACCTAGTGATTTGTTTTTATGGCCATAGATTGATACATCTTCCAGTCCTCATCAAAGAAGATCCCTGTTTTAGTAGATGTAAATTAACACAGAAAGTCTCCCTCTCCCAGAAGCTATTAAATGCCAATGGTTCCCTCAGCTACTGGTGGAATTTTGCCCACTGCATGATGAGATTTCATCTGGCTTGAGCTTGTGCAAGTTTTGTGTATGACATGATAATCACTGAGCTCACACATGCAGATGATCTGTGTGTCCAAAAAGTCTGTTTCAGTCAACCACTGTCTCCGTCTCTTACAATCTTTCCATGCCCTCTTCCAGGAAGTTACCTAAGCTTTGGGGAGAAACGGTGTAATGCAAACAGCCCCTGTAGGGCTTTTATTCTCTGTACTTTGACCAAATGAGGATTGCTGTGGGACAATCTATTTGTACAATATATGTATTGCTTTCATTGGTTAATAAACAGTTGACATGCCAATAGCTAGGCAAGATTTCCAGGGCAGAGTAATGCTGGGAAGAAGGAGGAGTCTCAGGAGTTAAAAGAGACAAGGAAAGAAGCAAGATGAATATGTCATGTTGAAAGAAGGTATCGCCTTGTGGCAGAAGGTAGATAAAACATGGGTTAATTTAAAATGTAAGAGTTAGCTAGTAACCAGTCTGAGCTATAAGCCAAGCATGTATAATTAACAATAAGTATATGTGCAGCTATTTGTGAGCAACAGCCCCAGACACAAAGAAACTCCTCCTACAAAAGATCTCTGTGTTAATCATCATCTACTGCAGGAAGAAGCTTCCTTGATAAAGTTTGGGGGATGCAATGATCTACAGATAAACCAATAAGTCATTAGGAGTTGCTTTAGTATTATGTCTCTCTGGCAGATTAGTATTAGGTTCTCCCCCAGATCTATGACCTATCTGGCCACACATTTTTAGTCCCATTAATAGTGCCAGAAGTGGGTTCCATCTGGAGTGGGCCTTAGCTCATAAAGTGGTTGGTTACTCCCATAACATTCATACACTATTGTAATCTTGGGCATCGCTATCTTGTCAAGCCAACCATTGTGACTTTCAGTGGTCACAGCTGGCTTAGAGTGATGGTTACTTTTCTCCCCTGGTAGCGTGGAGCATTTAGCACTATGAAAGCTAGTCACTAGGAATGCAGTTTCCAAGAAAGAACCTGTTTGGTTTCTCTATATTCCATGAGTCCATTATGTGGTATCAGCAACGTGGTCTTACCTTTAAGTTCTGGATTCCTCAGATAAACGTATGAAGCAATAAACAACCATCCTAACTTAGGTAACACAGACACAGAGAAGTACAGCATCTTTTCTCTTATATATGGTTGTAGCTCTGATTTCCAGGATAAGCATGTTGTGTTTAGAATACCCACAGAGGAAATTAGTAGAGGGCCATGGGAGGATTTCAAAAGAAGGGGAGATAAAACAC